GGCAGAACAAAATCTTACAATATTTTGTATGGATGATTGCCCATAGTGATAGTGACTGCAAATTTGTAAAAAAACCACACACACACACAAAAAAAGAAAGTATTTTAAATCCTAAGTGTGAATCATTCTATATATTATAACTAATGCATGATTCAAATCGTAACAAAAACAAAGAAAGTTATTTCAATCCTAACTGTGAATCTTTCTATAAATTATAACTAATGTGTGATTCAAATCCACAGATATTGATCTTAAACAACATGTTAAATTATTCTGCAGCTTTTACAGTGGGTGAAATTCTAATGTATTCTTACATATTGTTACACTACAAATATATGTTGGGTCAGCATGTTTAGTTAAGGTTTCTTTTTTCTCCTTCTTCTTCTCTATCATCTACAGCAGGACAAGTACAGACTTGAGAGAGTTAGCTGTAGAGAGGAGGATCCCGAAACAGCGACACATTCTCTCCTGATGATGTCCAAATTAGAGTCCGGGATACGGAGCTTTCCACTTTCAGCAGCGCATAAAGCTGTTTTAGAATATGTGTCATGACACGGTGGAATCAGGCGCTTGTCAATATTTGGGCATATGGAGTTTTTGGTATCATCTTAAAGATTGTTCTTTTGTCTTGCTTTCAGTGAAAAAAAACCCCCATCTATCTTCTATAGAAGTCGAGATATTTGCGATTGAAGGAGGTAGGGGTTCGTCTGGGTTCAGAGGTAAAAATAGAGAGAAAATGAACTCCATAGCTGGAGAGCCCTGGAAAACTGAAAATTTACCTATTTGCACCTTTATTCAACGTTTTACGGTAAAGTCTACACAGAAATGTATTTTCTAATGGACATAAAAAATGTTTAGCCAAAAAACAGAAATTTGATAAAAATTTCCAAAATGGCGGAAAAATGCCTTGTTTCTCTCCGATTTCCTTATTTTGACGAGCGCCTGATTTTACCACGATTTCTCACATATATACTTTTCCCCCCGTGCGTGGAAGAGTAATAAAAAACTTCTCACCATGTTTCCGGTAGGTCCATCCAGACCAGGAGATCCTCTAGATCCAGGTGGTCCCTGCGGATGGAAAGACGCCCAAGGTCAAGATGATGATGATTTGCTTCATGGTCAGACACGAGATACGTTCAAATATGATATGATATGATTATATAAAAATATTTATATATAGATCCTTTATCAGAAAAAGATTAACATTGTGTTTTCACCAGCTTCTGTGACACAAAATATACAAACGTAATATCATGAACCCATACCACAAGTTCTCCACAATAGAAAAATTATTTTAAAAAAATATAACAGACAGCAATTCTACAAGCTCATCCATGAACCCATACCACAAGTTCTCCTAAAAGATATCCACGATTAAAAAAAAACATGAACCCATACCACAAGTTCTCCACAATAGAAAAAAATGATTTAAGAAATGTAACAGACAGCAATTCCTCTAGTTTAACCATGAACCCATACCACAAGTTCTAAAACATATCTACGATAGCAAAAAAAAAAAAAAAAAAAAAAAAAAAGGTTTAAAATTTAACAGAAAGAAATAATTCTCCCAAAATGTTGTCCTATCTGAGATAGGCCAGTTTCCACTCACAATAGGTCCGGGTCCGCCCTTTGGTCCCTCGAATCCTCTGGGTCCGGGCTCACCCTTCAGTCCAGGTGGTCCCTCTGGTCCGGTGTTGCCGATGGAGCCACGGTGGCCCTGCAGGGGAGGCAATCACAGACAGTCAGTACACGTACACTCTTCATTATCGTTACGACATAATGTCCTCATTACAGTCCTCGGACTAATAAGTTAATGATGGGTCTAATAATAATAATGAAAACAATAATAATAATAATAATA